CGCGGAGCCCGGAGTGGCAACCATGGACTGCAGCCTACTGAGGACGCTCGTGCGCAGATACGTGAGTGGCGCGCTGGGCTAGGGCCGGGGCCGGGGCTGGGATCGGGATCCAGATCGGGGCGGGGGGGGGGGGGTTCAGGCCGGGAACGTCCCGCCGACCGGTTTGTGCTTTGCTCCACCTGCGCTCGGCCAGGCCCACCCGAGTAGGCAGTTGCAGCCCTGTGGATCCCGGGGTTCAGGGACATCCATCCCGGGGTTCGCGCTCAGTTGTAGTGGGGCGGGCCCGCGCGAGAGATAGGGACCGACTGGAGGATGCCTACAGTGCTCCGGGGAAGCGGGGAGCCTCTGCCGGGGAGTCAGAAGTGAAGTTTGCCATCTCCGTAAGTAGCCGGTCAGGTCCGAGTGCGCAGTTCCCGGTCCTTCTGGATGCCGCTGCGCGGGTAGTGACGGAGCGTGCCTCACAGGGGGGAGATCAGGGAGGTGGCAGCCAGCCACGGGTCAGGATGGAGCGAAGGGGTGTGTGCAGAAAAGAGAGAATTTGCCCCGGGACGGCGCATCTTCCCCTGCGCTCGGCACAAGGACCTATTATTGTCCGGCAGCTGGCGCCGGGTGGTCACAGGTTTGAGGAGCGCGTGCCGGGCGCGGGCTGGGTACGGAGGATCGACCAGAGCCGGCTCTTTCTGGCTTCTTTGAACACTTGGCCTTAGCTGTGGGTTTTTCCTGAGCGGGGAATGTACCCACTGTGTTTTCTCTAGTTAATTCCCGTCCAACTTTGACCTTCCAATAAGAAAAGAATGAGACTAAGAACAGAAGTTCTCCCCCGTGGGTAGTGAAAGGCGGAGGGGTGGTCGTCTTGTTCCCTGTACAGACTTCTCCGTGGAGTGTGCCAGCTTCTCGGGGACAGAGGACACGTGTTCGTCCCGAGTGGGTGCTGTCTTTTACTTCCGAACTGCCCCCAGGCAGGCCTTCGGCTGTCTTAGGTTTCCTCAATGTAGGTAAAATGTCAGGTTAGCTTCTTTTTGCTGTGCTATTTCACCTTTCAAATGGCGCATTCTCTCAAATCTAGGAGGTAGATATCCCTTAGTGAGCTTTCCCACTCTTAATTATTTGATAATGCATCTGGAATGTAAGTTATGGGATGTTATTCATTCTCTCTCTCTCTCTCTCTCTCTCTCTCTCTCTCTCTCTCTCTTACCTCCTGCTTGCAGGTGTTCTCTTGACTCCTGTCATATGTCTGGTCACAGCTAGTCATATCTGTGACTTTAAACTCGAGTCTAAGCCGTGAAATTAGTTTGACTTTTCCCAGAAACAGTTAGGATTTTTCTTCTAATATGGTTCTCTTCCAAGATGTGAGATTATGTTTTCTTTAGTAAGAGGGGGAAAAAAAGAGATTGAATATTCTTATCTCATGGAACTTGCAAGTTGTTCTACAGAAATGAGCCTCTCCTGTCCCTCCTTCCTCTCCTCACACCGTCCGAATTTCTGAGATGATGAAGGCACAGCTTCCTCTGAGGCCCGAGGTTGCTAAAGATGGAGTCATGAGTCCCCGGAAAACATTGACATTGGGTATTTTATCCTGGGTCAATTCCCAGCAGTGAGTGCAGGCAGGTAAATGAGAGAACTCTTGTCTAGGCGAAGCCTGTACACACCACAGTATACTGTGCTGTCTGTTTGAACAGTCACACAGTCATGAAGAGGTACACAGTTCCTCCACCAGGAGGTAGCCAATGTGGCAGGACCTAGTCTAAGTCATATTCTGTACCCTAAACATTTTAAAGAGTGCATGCAGAGTTAGATTTGTGAGGCGGGGAGTGTAGACCTTTGAGAGGAAGTAGAGCGAGTACCTGGGACAGGTGGCCTCTGCTGTCCTGCTTTGGTGCCTTTGTCAGAGGACAGTAGCAGCTTGGTCTTGTTCTTGTGCAAATTCAGTAGTCCAGAAAAGGACTAAGAATGGAGCCTTGGTCCCAGGAGAGGCTCAGCAAGTTTACCCCTAAAGCTGACTACTGTGGTCCCCTAGGACCTGGGCGGCCTTTAGCCCTGGCCTGCCGGTGAGAGGTTAGCAAGTGCTTGGATGTTGAGTAGGGTGGAAGGCTCGGTACTTTTCCAAACATTACTTTTTTGAGAGCACCTCACTGTGTGCCTCTGATTGGCCTGGATCTCACTTTGTAGACCAGACTAGTCCTGAATTCACAGACATCTGCTTGTCTCTGACTCCCCGGTACCGGAAGTATAGGCCATTGGTCACCTGGCCTAAGCCCTTTAAACTTTAAAAAGAAGGGTGTGTTGGTTGGTTCCCCCCCTCCACCCCCACCAGGGCTTTGCTGGGACAGTAGGTGGGAAGAAATAGTGGTGGGTATGATTTTCGCAATGATAAACAAAATAATTTAAAGCAAAGTACCTGCTGCTGGGCAGCCAGGAACAGTTTCTTAGGCCGTGCTCCTCACAAAGGCCTCTGGTTCATGCAGAGGGGATTTGATTTTCCCTCATATTCCTGTAGGTCAAGAGCTTCATTATGTCATGTCTGGGTGATTGGTTTATTAGGTTTTAGGACTTGCCAGAGCTTTTGTGAACCTCTCTGCCTTCCAGAATTTGCTTTGCATGCAACACCCTTTGTCCAAGACAGAAAACCTGGGAAAACCTGAGGGCTCTCCTTCCTTTCACGTTCTTTCTGTCTTGGTGATGTCTGATGACTGAATCCAGGATTTCCTGCGTGTTAGGCTAGTGCTCTACCCTCAAGTTATAGCCTCAGGTCTTTTTTTACTGTCCGAGACAAAGTTGCCCAGACTGATCTGGAATGTTGTATCCCGGCTGGTCTCAAGCCTGTGGTCGTCCTGCCTCAGCCTCAGGAGTAACTGGGGTTGTAGGCCTGCACCACTACATCTGGCCGATTTAAAATGTTCTTTTCTTTGATGTGAACAGCCTCCTTGCCTGCATGTATGTAAGCACACCATGGTCATGCCTGATGCCTGCAGAGGTCAGAGGAGGAGCCCCTGGGACTGCAGTTGGAGCTGACCATTAGGAGTGGGTGCTGTGAATTCAAACCTCTGGAAGAGCAGCCGGTTCTCTTAACTGCTGAGCCTCCTCTCAAGTCTCCCATTTTTTATGTATTAGAAAAAGATGGGTTTGGCTCCTGAGATCTTCAAACACTTACTCTATACTTCCCCAAAAGTTTAGAAATGTGTAAGCTTGTATTGTTATCTACAGCTTCTTCCTCTTCCTCCTCCTCTTCTTTTTTGAGATAGGGTTTTACTATGTAGCTCTGGCTGTCCTGGAATCAGTACATAGACCAGGCTGACCTCAAACTCACAGAGATCTGCCTGTGTCTGCCTCCTGAGTGCTGGAATTAAAGGCATGCGCCACTAGGCTCGGCTTCATCATTTTTAGCACCAAGTGCTTTGTAGCATGGACATTAGGATACATGATGAGCTTGCCTTTTGTCTAAGAGACTTAACTCACTGGCTCGCTGTTCCTAATCCAGCTCTGAGAATCCAGGCCTTCCTCTTCAGCCCCCAGAGTCCGTATACCCGGACATAAAGTGAAACCACTTAACCACCAAGGCCCTTCTGGTATTTGAAATAAGTGGTTCCTTAGGCATAAAACCCCAGGCTAATGGATGGTCTATCTCCAGCACGGTGGTAGCAAGCTATAGGGTGGACTTGCAAGGTTTATAATTAACACACACTTAACAAGGCAGCAGCTAGGCAAACTTGCCCAGCACCTGCCTGTCTTCAGGCTTTGGTGTGTTCTGATTGGCCATTTCTGAGCAATCACCCCAGCTGTATGTTTAACTTTTATGTTTCATTCCTTGCCTTGAATCATCCCCATTGCTCTCTGAAACCCTATTGAACGTCTTCTCATCAGGACAAATAAGCCTCAGATGCCTTTATTTCATGCCGACGACTGGATTTAATAACCATGGGGAAAGAGGCTTCTTGTATCATCACAGCCTGTTATGTTTCTAGAAATAAGAGCACTGTCCTCAGTTTACAATTAGCTGAGATGGCATGCCTATTAACAGGCACTGTGCCTTACTACCCAGGAACTCGGTCTGCAGATGGGCTCCAAACTGAACATACAGATTGTTACTGGGTACCCGCACCTTGTGCCCGACACAAACAGGGTGGATGGAAGATTCCTACATCTCAGACTTACAAATGTTCTTTTAACCAAGTTAAACGCAGGTAAGAGTGCTATTTATTTGCAATACAAATCAATAGAAAGCCACTTTTTACAGCACTGGAAATACAAGATTGAATAGGTACTATTTTTGCTTGCCTGGGATGCTGATGGCTGAGAAACTCAGGGTCGATGTAGAGCTTTGGAGGTTAGGCATCTGTCTCCTGGATCCTCACGCACATCTCTCTGCCTCCGCCCGTACCTGGGGCTGCTGGTGAGATTCTTCAGACTGTTTGCTCCTCTGAAAACAAGAACTGTCAGTGCCCACTCCCCGGTGCCTGCACTGTCTAGGACACAGCCCTTGCACACGATTCATGCTCCGTAAGTGGGGCCAGTGTGAATCGGACACCATGAGTCTGTGCTGTCCTGTTTCTCAGCGGACTGCTCCCCCTCTCCATGGGGGCAGCAGACAACCTGCCTAGATGTTTGAGAAGAAAACAGACAGCACATCCCCCTGCAGAGCCCACAGACTTGCTGTTTCTGTCCTGGCCTGCCTCCCTGGTTTGGGACAGTAGATTCCATTTTGATAGAGACCAGTTCTGGAGCTTGCATTCCCCGTCCACTTCCTGTTTAGATGACATCATCGCCCTGTGGCACGCAGTCATGTCTTCCTCTGTCTACCCTTTATCTTAATGGCTGACCAGCTGTAGCTGACCAGACCGCCTTCCCTCCCACGTTGTCTTTGTCTTGCTCCTGGGGTGCTTTTCCCAGAGTTTTTGTGACCTCATTGTGGCTCACATGCTCACACTTCAGTTGGATGAAGCTCCCCATCCTTGGGCAGCCACCTCAGAGTGGAGATGCAAACTGAACATAATAAGCAAGTGTTAGTGGCCAGATGTGTTCTTTTTTTTGTCAGTGGAGATAACAGTTAACAGGAAAAAATCG